AAATGATTTTTTTTTTAAATACTAATTTTAATAAATGTATATTATACTTAAATTAAATAGTACAGTGGTTAGATCGTGAGATATGATATTGTAAGTTGAGGTAACCGGTTCGGTTCCTTAGGTGAGTAAAAATAAATAAATAAATATAATTTAATTAAAATATACACATGTAATCATATATATGCGTTAATATACAGTGCGTTGAACAACAATGCATAATGTGTTGCACTATAAATTAGAGTTGAACGACGCGTATATTAACATTATGCGCTGATATACTCCAATATATGGGTGTTGATTAATATTGTTAATCATGTTGAACAACTAGCTGGTGTTGATCAACGCGTATACTGGTGTGAATCAACGCTTTTCAAACTTGCTGATGAACGAGCTATAGATTGGGTTTCTACGATCACTGGATGGTGAGTTATTGCGCAAAACGGATTCTGACCAATTAGAAAAGAACTGAAAAATGGAACTGAACTAAACCGTTCAGAGCTTTAGTCGTGCAATTCCAACAGGGACACCCACCTCATTTTGAACAATTTCTAACAGAGGACACCCACCTTATTTTGAACGGTCCATCAGCCTGAGATCTACCTAGATAAGTCAATTCAATGATAGTCCAACATGTGATACTTTGATTGGCATACTACAAAAACTGCGGTACCCAACCTGTCACCCCCTTATTACCCAAGTGATCATTGATTTTGAAAATGTAACACCAAGCCACCATGACAATCAAATTTTCCAGTATCCTTCCACCCTCCAAAGAAAATAAAGTTACACCAAAAAAAGTGACCAAGAAAAATAAAAAGCAAAAAATAAAAACATAAATCTCAGAAAAACTTGAAGTGCAATGAGAAAACCTGAGTAAAAAACACCAAATATGCATCTCAACACCGTCTCCTTATATTAAAAAACTAACTCCCCATTAATAAACATCAACTGGTAAGAAATACGTTGGTCGATGAGCTTCTTCCAAGAAATAATGGTCCAGCCTGTGAACCACTTGGCCAGTTAGACTTTAAAGGCATAGGAACTATGACGGATTACTTTTAAATCTTTCAGAAAGCCCAGGGAAACGTTCATATGGAGCTGCCATCTTACATTATTGTTGGTAACTCCAAGACTCATGATAACAGTCCTAACTCAATATAAGCCATAAGGAGTTTGGTGAAACTAAAGACCTCAGTAATAACTTCATAAAACTTTTAAAAGTCCTTTTACTATCATAAAAGGCAAAAAGTCATCATACTTTTCATCCATATCTTCTTTGGAAAAAATGGGCAGAGTCCAACAGGAGATGATCGCTTAAGTCACACTTTTAGGCAAACATGGCATAGTAGCCTTTATCTTTATTAATATTTTATTGAACTTTACAAATTTACATATAAGAAAAAAGGAAAATAAAATAAACACTAACTAAAAACAAAGCTATATAGTTCCTAGAAAGAAATTAAAATTAGTATTGAATAATATTTATCTGTTTTAAAAATAATGTATCTTAGTAAATAAATCATTTATTTTATCTCACAGGATAAACATTCAGAATTATTATCATTATATTTTGGAAGTTCTTTGGTAAAAGAATTAAGCAATCGGGATATATAAATTGCTTGTGGATGAATAGTTGATTGATCATTTTCATTTGATAATTGGTTAACTATTCTGTATGATTCCACTTCCTCAAATTGTTTTTTTATTTCTATTTCTTCATCATTTATTACTGCAATTAAAATATTCCCTTTATACGCCTTGTGAAATTGTAAAAATGATTCATATATTATAGTAGAATTTGGTCTATTTTTTGGATCTGAATCCCAACACTTTTTCATTAAATCAATATAGCATTTTGGTGCTTCTTGCTCATTAATTTCAGGTCTAATTTCATTGCATATATCTAATGCTAGAAGCTTATCGTGAGCACAATTAGTAAAAGGTTGTCTCCCAGTTGCTGCAAAATACATAATCATACCAAAACTGTATATATCTGCTGATTGACTATATGGTATTCCTCTTAGTACTTCTGGTGCAACATAGGGCATAACTCCATAAATCTTTGTTTTATCTGTATTATCAACTTCGCCACATAATCCCATATCTGATATAAATATATTATCACCAAAAATGTTGATCTTGCTTATACTGTTTGTAAAAAACAATATATTTCCTGTATGTAAATCACGATGAAATATTCGTTTTTGATGAATCTCTTTGAGGCCATTACTGATATTAAGTAATGTAATTATTTTAGAGAACCAAGAAAAATTTTTAAAATTATTATTCATCCATTTATTAAAATTTCCACCTTCTGCATATTCAAGGACTATTATATATTCTTTTGTAATTGGATTTTGAGATAATCCATATATTTTAAGGATATTACTACCATGCTTATCTATTGAATATTCTTTGATCTACCAAATACAAAAAAAAAGCATTATATATATATTATATATTAAAAAAGGATTTAAATTAAAAATTATAAATAATTCTTACCTCATTTAAAAATTCATTAGTAATATTTTGTGAATTATATAAGCATTTTAAGGCAACTTTTTTATCATTGTTTCTTATATATTTCTTTTCATTATTATTATAGTATAAAGGACCATACTTCCACATCGCTGAATACACTGTAGCAAAACCACCTTTATCTATCTCTTTAATATCATTAAACTGGTCATATGATATCCACTCAAATATAATATCAAATGGGTTACTAATTTTTAATTGCATTTCTTGAATGAAATTATCAATTTTTTCATTACCATTACTGCTGGTTTTTAAATATTCTAATTGACATAATTTACACCATTTATAATAAATATACATGTTATTACAGTTCTCACAATATTTTTCTAAATATTTGTCATTATAAATTAAAATATAATCCTTTGAATCAAGATTTTGAGATATTCCATATATTTTAATAGTAACATTAGTATTATTATCCTTATTTGATTGCTCTTCATTTATTGAATATTTTCTGGCCTATTAAAATTTAGAAATATTATTATAAAATAATTCAAGAAATAAAGATATAAAGAAATTTACCTCATTTAAAAGTTCATCAGTATTTTGTAAACATTTTAAAATGACATTTATATCTTGATGCCTTTTGTATATTCTAGAATTTTCGTCCCAATGAAATGGACCATTCTTCCATTTTGCTGAATATATTGTAGAAAAATCATCTTTATTATTTACTTTATTAATGTTAAAAAATTGATTGTTTAATATCCACTCAAATATTGTATCTGATGGGTTATTAATTTCTGATTGTTTTTCTTGAATAAAGTTATCAATTATTTCATTTCCACTGGTCCAATTTATAAAAGTTTTTTTTATATCTTCCATTTGACATGATTTACACCATTTAGAATTTTTATGTAAATATATGTTATTACATTTACTACAACATTTTGTAGGATAATCTAATTGATTTAAAATCATAATATAATCATTTGTATCTGAATTTTGAGATATTCCATGTATTTTAAGATTGATTGAATGAGCTTTAACCTATTAAGTAGAATGAAAAATTATTATTGCATTAAAAATAAACTTAGTTTATAGGAAAATTTTATACCTTATTTAGAAATTCTTCAATATTTTGTAAATTATGTAAATATTTCAAAGTAACACTGTTATGACATTTTTTGTATTTTTTACTATGCCTATCCCAATATAATCTATTCTTCTGCATTGCTGAATATACTGTAAAATCGTCATTATTATCTACTTCATTAATGTCATAAAATTGATCATATGGTATCCACTCAGATATTATACTCTTTGAGTCATTAATTTTCAATTGTTTTTCTTGAATAAAATTATCTATTTTTTCATCTCCACTGGTCCAATTTACAAAATCTTTTTTTAAATTATTTATTTGACATTGTCTGCACCATTGACTTTTTACATCTGTATAACCTTTATTACATTTTATACAGTAATTTCCATTATTGAAATCTATTAAAACTAAAATATAATCTTCAGTATTTGGAAATTGAGATATTCCATATACTTTAAAATTGGTTGAATGTACTTTAACCTATTAAATATAAATAAATAAATTATTGTATATTCAAATTAAAAATGATTTAAGTTTATAGAAAACTTTATACCTCATTTAGAAATTCTTCAATATTTTGTAAATTGTGTAAATATTTCAAAGCAACTTCATTATTTTTGTTATCTTGATGCCTTTTGTATTTTCTACAATTTTCGTCCCAATGTAATGGACCATTCTTCCATTTTGCTGAATATACTATAGACAGGTCATCATTATTTACTTCATTAATGTCAGAAAATTGATCATATAGTATCCACTCAAGTATTGTACTCTGTGGGCCATTAATTTCCAATTGTTTTTCTTTAATAAAATTATCTATTTTTTCATTTTCACTAGTCCAATTTATGAAATTTTTTCTTAAATTGTTTGTTTGACATTGTTTACACCACTTACAAGTAATATTTGTATAAGCTTCATTACATTTTATACAATAACCTTTATCTTGTAAAACTATAATGAAATCATCTATATTTGGCATTGAAGATATTCCATATATATTAAATTTGGTTGAAGTTGAATGTATAACCTGTTAAGTATAAATAAGTTAGTTACCATTATATATTCAGATTAAAAAATGATTTAAGTTTATAGAAAACTTTATACCTCATTTAGAAATTCTTCGATATTTTG